TTATAATGCTATAACTTATTGAAAAGTGTATTGATCAATATAATTTTTTTATGGGAAATACTATTTTTTAATAATCCCTTTTTCATTCGACATACTTTATCTTAATCAGGATATTAATAAGGAACTAGCAGTTTATGAAGCTTTTGGAATAATCCATCAATTTTTTAAAATTAAACAGTGTCTAAAGATTTGCATCGAAGCGTTTTTTTTTTATAGTGATTTTAATCACTGTCAGATATCATTATACTTGATCCATCTATACCACGTCACCACTGTGCCGCGACCCCCCTGTGCTGGGTTTTTTTAATTTACGCACATTATTTTCATTGTCAACCAACACTTTAATTTATAGATTAATAAGTTTGTTAAGGTTATAACAGTAAAAGTCCCGTCCCCGAAATATTGTCCCCTATTGAAAAGTGTCTGTTAGGGATGTCTCACTATATTTATATATTTTTGTAAAAAGTTCCCAATTTTAATTAAATTTTTTTACCTATATGAATAAATTTGTTTTTAGGCGTTTCTCGCTCTCTCTTATAAATTATTTTTATCCATAGTTAGGTAAGATTTATTTTATTATTATTTTGTTTTTACTTACTGTACAACATAATCATTTTAATACATTGAGTATATAGTAAGTATGCAGTGCAGGTTGAGCTCGTACTTGATTATAAGGTATATATCGCCTATGTTCCTCTCTATGTATTGAAATACATATAATTCAATGAGTATTTGTTATAAAAGTACTGATCTGTCATTATTTTCTTTTGAAAGAAAAGGATGGATATATCAATCAATTTTGTATCTTAAAAAAAAATAATAAATAAAAAATAAACATTTTTTTTTAAATAATGAAAATTATTTATTATAAATAATTTTTAAGTTCTTAATGAGTTATAAGATTTTAAATACGTAGAGTGAGTATTGAACGTGAGCAGAATATATGTGTAATAATAATGGTGTATATAATACACCATTACTAGGTGCAGTCATTTACACAATAAAATCATTTAATGTATTAAAATGTATGTGATATGATAATTAATTGTCCTAAAATTGTATCCACCCAGCAATTTTTTTGTAATAAGTATTAAAAATAGCTATTTTAAGATTTCAAAAAAATTAAATTAATTTTTTTTAATTCACTTTGTTTCATCTAAGTGCATATTATTAGATTTCTTTATTTTTTTTCTTAAATCCACTTATGGTCCGGGTGTTGTTCTTTTTATGATCAAGACCCACGCCTAAATGGTTGGCGACCCGATTTCCTTTTGCAAGGGAGCCATGAGGGTGGCGACTCCACAATCCGTTGCGTAGCCCAAGTCGTCACCTCTCAACTTCTAAAAGTAAATATATTTTAAGTAAAAATAACTTAACCACTGGTTAATACATATTGTATAATTTTCACACAATAATAATTTTTTTTTATTAACATTTACTATAATCAAAAAAATATAGAATGTATTAGTTTTTAAATTAGTTCTAAAATCATGTTTTATTAACCTATATTTTTGTATTAAATTATATTGAAAAAATTTTTTTCCGCAGCATAAACTCGCCAATAATGAATTAACAAAAAAGAATTTAGATTACGAAAATACTTTAAAAATACAGCAAGGTGATTATATAAGTATATATATTGTAATTAACTTACTTTATTTAATTTTACACCTGTTTAAGCAAAGTCGCATGATATTCTTTGTAAATAACATGAAATATACTGTGACTTAATCTGGACTTATTTACCTGTATAAAATATATAAGTGAGTAACTTATGAACTCCATTTATTTATTTTTTGGATGGAGTTCACGTAATGGGGTATAAATTAATTTTGGGCTTATATATTACTATTGTATTAAATTGAACATTAGAAACATTGGTAACAATATCATGTCCATATGGCCATTGATTATTGAGTAATTATCAAAAGCAGATACATATCAACATACATTTTTGTTTATAAAGCATTACATTTTTTTATATTATAACATTTATAATTCAAATCTCTAAGAAAAATATAATTTATGATGCATTGTCATGTGTGGTCTTAATTGATTTTTTAACTATGTTAGAAACATCGTCATCACGTTTTAAAAATAAATAAATCTTATTCCTTTTATTAAATATTTTGGTAAGAAAAAATATTAATTAAAAAATAAAACACTTATGGATTTAAGACATTTTTGAAAAAATTAATTTATCTTATTTTTCCTAAACTTTCAATTGCATTAACGCTAATGTTAAATTACATTAAAAAGAGGTATTTATCAAATTATTATCATTTGTAATTCTATTTTCTATAAAAATTTTTAAGTTAAACTTTGTTAAGTCATTTAATATCTTTAACATACTTTAATTATTATCTTTTTTTTTTGAGAAGTTAATTTTTTTGTTTGAATTATTTTTCTAGATCAAATATCAAAAATTGAAGAAACGATCAAAGAAAAAGTCTATAGTGTTCTAGAAAGTGATTTTCTATGTCCAATTTGTAATGAATTAATGGTTAAGGTATTATTTTTACATTTAAATCCACTAATAGCGTAAATATATAACATGTCATCATGTTAAAAGTTCTTAGCAAATTTATTATGTTACTTTGGTTAAAAAATGCATTATGGAATACTTTTTAATCAATTTTATGATTGTTAAATATTATAAAGTGATATTAGAGATTTAAAAACTTTTTGAACTTTCTAATCCTAGAGTTGTAAATAAAATTTCTGAAAAGTAAAGCTAAAATATTTTAACTAAAAAAATCATATTTGATAAAAATTTCTTTTTTATTAGTTGAAAAAGTAAATAAATGTGTTTTAAAATCAATTATAAAATTCATATAGTAAAATCTAGTAAAGTAATTTAAAATGCTTTTCTTTAGGTAAATATACATACTTTTATTTTGAACGAATAATTAATATGATTTCTAAACATATGAAGACACAAATTTTCAATTTAAAATAAAATTTGCTCTATCTTTTAAGATAAAAAACGATTTTCAATTACTTCATTTACTTACATTTACATTACTTTACCATGAAGTGTGACATTTTAAAGTAAATTTGTTTATGAAAATAAAATGCAATTTAAGTAAAATGAAAAATATTACTATGTCATTGATATATATTATTATTTTATAATTTAGTAACTATTTTATCCAAAATTTAAATGAGTTTTTAAATTTTGTTTTTGATTAATTAGCTTCTAAGAGACTGAAAAATAAATCACATACTTCATAATTATACCAACAAAATTATTTTATTTTAGAATTTGGGTTTGAAGTTTAAATAAAACATATTTTATCTCAAAATGTTAGTTCAAGAAAACTTGAATTTTACGCATTCATAAATTAGATTAAAAAAATGATTTTAAATATCTCATTATCATTGGGAAATAAATAAAATGTAGTCATAAATTGTGAAAATGAATATTTTATATAAAATTTAATATGTAAATTTGTTTTTTTTTTAGGCGTGTACAATTAATTGCAGCCATACATTTTGTGAAGTTTGTTTAAATACTTGTTTGGCAAAAAGGCCTGTGTGTCCTTTGTCTAACTTTAGTTAGAACCAAAACTATTTGTCAAGCTCTGGATAACTTTATTACTAATATTTGTAATCTTCTTGGGAATGAAATAAAAGAACATCGGGAAAAAGTGCAACAAGAAAGTAAGTATATTTGAACATTTATTAACTTATATTTATTGTTATAACTATTTTTAGAATTGAAAGTTAATGTCCCACGACTAAAGTATCCGCTACAAATTGCTAGAAGAGGTGGTAGAAGAAGATTAAGATAATTAACCTTATTGTTAAAAATAAAATATTTACTATACATTATCTCACCTATTGTATTTTAAATTTTAATTAAAAGATATTTGATACCAAGCAAAATGATAGGTACTTTTTTAACAACTATGAGCACATATTATAATAATAACATATTATTTAATGTTTGTTAACACAAAAATAAATAAGCATAAGTATTTTAATTATATTTTACATGAACTCTATTAAATAATAAAATAAAACCTTGGGAGCTAGAGCTATTGGTTGGCACATAAGAATTTTGTTCGCCACCCGGTTCCTACTAAAGCGGTTAGCCCATATAACTAATAATAAAAAATAACAATAAATTTCAATGATAGATTTCTAACAATAAAAAAAAAGAAAGATTACCATTCATCTAATTAATATGTTTTTTTCTGTATGATATGATTATTGGGAGCAAGTTAACGGAAAAAATGCAACCCCATCGTACACAGTAAACCCTTTTTTTTTTTTACTACCGCCTGCATGATTGTGGGCCGACCTGGAACTGCCGTTAGGCATTACTTCAGGGTGGCCCACGCCGTCTATAAATCACACCACTACGTTGTGAATCAGCTCTTGATTAACTTCGGGCTGATTCCTCGTCGGCGCCAGTTGGACACGTTGATGTTCCGGAGCTGCAGCCGGACCTCCGCGCGAAGCGGTTGACCGGTGCTTTTCCGGAGCTCGTGTCCGTTGGCGCGTTCGACGGCCAGCAGGTCCGCGGGCGGCAGAAAAGCCAGGACCCTTGCCGCTACTCCGGAGACGGTGCGATAGGCACACAAGGTCCGGATGGCTCCAACGGGTACTTCAACCTACAAAACTGTTTGCGTACATAAAAAAACAATAATATACAGTAAATTTATTATTATTATTATGCGTAAAATGTTCACCAAATCGTTTCCACTGGCACCCTCACCGACATTTCCTCCGAACAGTCTAGCATCGCCAACATCAATGTCCACCACGCGAACAATTTCAATCTACACGGTGACAACTTCTATTGTTACAATTCAGCATAACACGGCTACGGAACCTGACGTCTTGTGTACGCGATACTTACAACGTATAAATACATACGCGTTGTAAAAAATATTTGAAAAAGTGAACGAATTAATACCGTCTCACATTCCGTAACCGTTACTATGATTCTTAATGAAATTAATTATAAAAATGTATTACGTCGGCCTCAATATGTTGTTCCGTGACATTGACCTTAAAGGGAAAAGCAAAATCATCGAAGACAATTGTAGCGATTACTGTTAACTATTATGATTATTAATTACTATACACGGTATGGAGTTCCGGTTGAGCACCCTGCGCACAGTACTGCTACCAACAAACTTAAGCCAATCAAATGTCCATCAGACTAAAGGATACGTCGAATCGAAAACAATTAATTAACGTGTACATACTTGCGTAAACTGACACCGTCGCTTCGATGCAAATCTTTAGATAGTGTTTAATTTAAAAAAAATGGTGGATTATTCCAAAAGCTACATGATCTGCTAGTTCCTTATTAATATCCTAATTAAGATAAAGTATGTCCAATGAAAAAGGAATTATTAAAAAATATTATAAAGTTAAAAATGTAAAAAATAAAATCGAGAATTTTCACACAATAATAGCATTCGGTAACCATTTACACCGTGAAGACAAAATGAAGTCCGAATTTTTTTTTTTGCATAATAAAGTACATTACATTAGCTTTAATTTAAGATATATATAAAAGTGTCAGACTTTCCGGAACATTTTTAAAAGTCAAGTTGAAAAATTAATTTTTTGTCAAAAAGTTGTCATTTTAAATACCCTCTTGTGGGTAAGTAAAGGGTCAGATATAAAAAAAAATATACCAAATGAAAGGTAATGATATCATGCATCTATATAAAAAAATATTATATTGATATATTCATTTTTAAAAAAGTTATGGAATTTTTAAGTAAAAAATTAGCACAGTGGGGTGGTGGCACAGTGGGGTCGTGGCATAGTTGGGTCCAGTATAGACGATATCTGACAGTTATTAAAATCACTATCATAAAAAACGCTGCAATGCAAATCTGTAGATAGTGTTTAATTAAAAAAAAAATTTTTTTACTAATTTTAAAACTATTTTAAATCCCCCCAGTGAGCAGAATAAGTGTTAGATTTTCAAATATCTAAGGTTTCAATAAAAAAAAATATTATTTTTATTTATTCATTTTTGAAAAAGTTATGGCAGTTTTAAGCACAAAAAACATCACGATAAAAGGTAATTTTTATCGCAAACATTACATTTTTTTTTAATTTTCGACAGCCATTTGCACATAGAAGATAAGATGTTGGGACAATTTTTTTTTTTCATTTTATAGTACATAAAATAAGCTTTAATTTGATATATGTTTAAAGGACGCAGTATTTCCGGAACATTTTCAAAAATTAAGTTGAAAAAGTTAGTTTTTGTAAAAAAGTTGCAATTTTAAATCCCCCCCATGAGCAGGTTCAGGGTTAAATTTTCAAAAAAATGATATAAAATGAAAGGTAAATATCTAAGGTTTTAGTATAAAAAAAAATTATGTAGATTTGTTGATTTTTCAAAAAGTTATGGAAGTTTTAAGAAAAAAAAGTGAAAAAAATGACAAAATTTATCGATTTTTAAATTTGTAATTTTTTTGGATATTTCCCCCATTTGCGGGGAACGAGGGAAAATTTTTAAATTTTTAAGGGTAATGTCTTCAACTAGATACAATTTGTGATNTAATTTTTAAGGGTAATGTCTTCAACTAGATACAATTTGTGATCTTTTGACATATTGTTAAAAGAAATCGGTCCAGTAAGAGCTGAGAAAAAGTAGTGACAGACACAAAAAAATAAATAAATAAACACATCATGGTAAAATTAATACCTTCTCAGCTTCGCATCGAAGCTAAAACAAAGTTTCAAATAAAATGTTATGTTGGACTTTGTTGACATAAAACTTGTTATTATGTTTTTAATATGTCATTTAATTTGTTATTAGTATAATTTTTACATTGTTTATTTGCCTCTAATAGTTCAGAAAATCAGCACCTACACCAAAGAAGACCTAAACAATTTTTATTGTAAGTTGTATTTTGATTTGTAAAAAAGTAATCATATAAATCTTGAATGATGAGTCAGTTGTTAATTACAATAATTTATTTAATAATAAAATAAATAGTAAAAAATTTTATTACCAATTAGTTAATAGTATCAGTGTACTTTTCATAAAAGAAAATATTTTGTCAAGATTTTTGGTTAATTGTATTAATACCTTGTAACCATCTCATAGTATGTTTAATTTATTTAGTTCTTCAGCAAAAGTCATTAAAAATACAACAACAACTAGCAACCAATTACTATACGTACAACTAATTACAGTAAAAAATTGTCGTACCCTAATTCGAACATTCCATTCATTAACAATTCTACCGTTTCTTTTCGCAATCATATCGGTTAACTTAAATGATCGACCATTATCAATTATACCACAGTCGGGATTAATAACTACTAGATTTTGTCAATAAGGATTTCTCAGTAAACAATCCATGTCGTCGATACGTCAAGCTGACAGTGGTGTTATATTACGTTGAATAATGCAAAGCAAAAAAAAGTAGAAAAAATATCTTAAACACATTTTTATCAAAAATGATTTATAAATTTTCGAAAATACAAAATATTGAATTTTAAAACTTAAAATTTTAATGATTTATTAATGATGGGGCCAGGGGCACTAAATATTATAGTGCTTACCCGAACCGGCTAATTGCACCAATACCGATCAGGCTGCATAGTGTAATGTATGTAAATAGAATCACTGGAGGTGGGAGGGTTCGCCTGCGCAGCAACCAGTGATCTATGTAATGAGAGATGTGTTAGTGTGTATATATGTAAGTGTGTACTATTAAACAAAATAAATAAATAATTTTAAAACTTTATAATAATCAACAATAACAATAATTAATTTAAATTACAACTGTAATAATAATAATTCATAAACCTAAATTTACATAAAATTAGACAATAATTATAAACTAATAATGGTAACTAATTGTTAACTTGATCACTTATAATGACAGGACTTTGAATAGTAAAAGAGACAATAATTTAAATTCCCCACAATAGAATTTAACAATTAGCCCTTCTGACTAATTAACTAAATAATATTTACAAGCTCTTATAGCTGTTGCATGCTGACCTTACGCCAACGATTAAGGAGGAATAATAAATTAAGTATGATACAAATTACACACAAACTTAAACTGCTCAATAAATCACTATCAAATAAAACTTCAATAATCTTAATAAATGGTACTCACTAATAATTGTAATTGGCCAGCCAATGCTAAAACTCAGACACAAATTACATTNATGCTAAAACTAAGACACAAATTACATTTACACACAATTACTACAACACACAATTTTTTCTGAACACTTAGAAATGAATTGCAATGCAAGTTTCACAAATAAGTATAAAATATCACAGGAGACTAGAATGAATGAACAATGCAAGCCCTGGTGGGCACTATGAAACAACAATTGACGAATTTATAATCCAACAAAAAAAGAACATATTTGAATATTCAACACTTAATTTTAAGTTTTAAGTTTCTATAATAATAATAATTTTAAGTTTCTAATTTATGATATATGGGAATGAACAGTTTACGATACTTAAGATTAAAATTGACAATTGGATAATTAGGTTTAAAATATAGATTTATGTCACAATTTTTAGTTTTTGAATGACGATATAGTNTGATCGGCCGGTAGTAGCGATATCCACTACTACATGCGTAGTAGGGAGTAGGTGTGGTGATAATAGTTAGACCGGTCCGAGTACACTGGGCGCGCGTGCGTACAACACCCTATTATGTTGCAGCTGCAACAATTAATAAAATGTCGTTATTATTTAAAAATATAATGCTTTTATAAATTATATTACTAAAATTAAGCTTCTAGAATGCAAATACTCAACTGTAAAAAGATACTATATCACAATAGTTTATTATTTTTTGTGTTTTTCAACATACTTTTGTTGAAATTGTTATATTATAATTATTTATATAGTCTTTGTTGAAAGATGATGATATAAGCAAAAACAAAATTTATTTCTCGTATAATATTTTATATTGATGCAATATCAATAATTCTTATTTTATATATCTAAGGTTAGTCATCAATATTATACTATATACCATAAGTAAAAATTAGGGCTCCGATTTTTTTTAATATTGATATCGTAAATCATGATATCAAAAACAAAACTATATGAATGTATATCGATTGTTTGTCTCATATGAATTGTAAAATTGATACGATCTCGACGCAACATTTGTGATTAACACAGCTCGTCAAAATTTGGGTCATGGAATGTTTATGGTTTAAATAAATAAAAAATGAGAAAATCATAATTTTACAAATATTTAATTGTGGCTAAAATATTAATATTATAGTAAAGCTAAGGGTATATTCGGAATCATCATCAAAAAACCTTACAGAAACTATAAAAAAAATAAACACATCATGGTAAAATTAATACCTTCTGTAGCGTTACGCTACTGCTTTATCATTGGTTGACAGTTGCAAGAAAGTCCGCTGGACAGCGCTGTTCGACAACCCTTATTCAAAAAATGTAAATTAAAGTATTTATCTATTATTTTTTTTATTATTTTTTATTATGTTTATTGTAATGATTATTTTATATACCAGTCTTAGCGAGAACTCGAAAATAGGAAATTAGAATATTCTTTTGTTTTTGGAAGGTTTTAAAAATAAATAATATGTGGGCAATTGTTCTACACTACTCCGGTGGTGACGGGTAGCATAAAGTACACCGTCACTACTCGTATTAATTAATCATATCTCTCTGTAAATTCTATAAGTATTACATTAGTATTTCTTTACTTTTTACTAGTGATCGCAATATTTATTGCCAACTAGTCTCCATTCATTCAGTCTTCCATCGAGTAAGTGTTCAATATTTATTCCTTTTACTTAATTCTTATTACATATATACTTTTCAACGGAGGTTGTAACTATTCGTTACCAACCGTGATCAAAATTATATATTTCTTTTCTATAAAGGCTAGTCATAATCTTCAACAGTGATTATAACCATCGTGTTATCAACCGTGATCAAGATTGCTAGTTTTTTCTTAAGCTTTCCTCCTTAATCCTTTTGCAACGGTGCTTATAATAAACGCTTTACCAACCGTGATCCAAAAGGGTTGGATTTCACCACTTACATAAGATAACTATCTTTTTGTAAAACTCCTCTTAACCTTCTGCAACGGTGTTTATAACCATTCGTTATCAACCGTGATCCAGAGGGTTATATCCCTACCTCACCTCAAAGTAAATAGTTTCTAAATTAAGACTGATATAGTAGTTAGTTAATTAATATATGTATATATTCACCTTTATATAAAAATAAATCAGAATAAATCGATTAGTCGAACAATTTGTGTTGTGTTTTCATATTTAAAGAGAACAAACGTAGAAACGTTTCACTTCTCAACTTCGCATCGAAGCTAAAAACATTTCATAAAAATTCAATAACCCAAATTTGTTGAGATGTTTAGTTAAATAAGACACGTATGCTGTAATATTCCCGATGCTTTGCAGTATGCATCTTACATTTATTAATGAAAAATTTATAATCTGTATTTTTAGTATTTGTTAACAAACAAATAATTTATTTGTCATAATACTACTTTACTAAACAGTTTGTCTTAATAGATTTATATAACTCAACTAAGTCATTATTAACCTGATGGAATCTTAGGTATATTTTAAATAAATGATTCGGCAACGTTAAATATAATAATTATTTTATATTCGCAATTATATTAACAAGACAATAAAGATAAGATGTAAAAATATCTGTAAAAATATATTGAAATGAAACTTACAATTCCCAGAGTGAACTATTTCACGACTTTATACTTTTAACGTTAAGTTAATTATCTTAACATAAATGTCGGATCGGGGGGTTTTACTTGACAATCGTATAATATCAATTCCAAACAGTAATTTTATTATACATATACAGGGTGGCCCACCACTCACTGACAACTTAAATAACTTTTGATCCAGTTAATATTTTTAGTTGATTTTTTTTTTAAATATTAGTTAGACGTTAGGTCTATAGCTATATCTCAATAATTCATTTTTTTACATTTTATTAAAAATATTAATTATTTTAAAATTTTAAATAAAAAGTAAAAAAAAAATCTAAGATAGCTATTTTGTAGAGTAGAATTTAAGAAAAATTTTAGTAAAAAAATATCTTATTAATATTCAGTAGTAAATATTCTGTAGCGTTTTGAAGTTTGTGAAAATTTGAATTTTCATGTACTATTTTACGGTATTAAACATTGAAATACGTATTGAGAAAAGGACAGAAGAAAACGCTATCTTTTCAATATACTTTTGAATGAGAGTGATAAGTAATAATTGCCTTATCTAATTTCTTATCATGGTATTTATGCCAAGTTTGTAATGTATACACACTATCATCATATGTATACACAGTAATCATGAAAAGATAGCGTTTTCTTCTATCCTTTTCCCAATACGTATTTCAATGTTTATAACCGTAAAATAGTACATGAAAATTCAAATTTTTACAAACTTCAAAACGCTACAGAATATTTACTACTGAATATTAATAAGATATTTTTTTACTAAAATTTTTCTTAAATTCTACTCTACAAAATAGCTATC